TGTTGCGGCATGCCACAAGACGGGTTTTTCAGTGTCTCTTTTGTGTACTAAATTTATGACTAGAAAAAAATTTCCGCGGCACACGCGACCATTTTCGCGGTGTTTGCCGCCCGTCGGATATGGGTATTCCGTAATCTTGTGGTTGTGAATTGGGAACGCAACTGTCATTCGCTGCTCCGTGAATAAGTAACTGTAGATGGCTTTCGTGGTACTTAATTTCGGTCGCACATCAGTCTGTTCACATCCTGCATTCAGAAGTGTCTTAATGGTCGATATATAAAAAAATATACGTGCCCCATTTTTTACCCGAACTTAATTGCGAAGTTTGTTCTGACGGGCTTTTGTTCATAATTGTAAGAAGTTTGGCGGCGTTCCTGTTGAAGTCACTGTTCATCAAACAATATGCACGTTTTTTTCCTTCAGTTTCATGTCTTGTTGCTTGACAGCAGTAATTCGTTCCCACTTAACAAATCCCACTCTTCACTCGTCTCTTGGTTTTATTATGCAGCGTGTATGAGTGCCGTACGAAACAGGTATTTCCTCTTGCATTTATTCTGGGAGTTCGATTGTAATCTTTGATTTTTCAAGAATATATCGCACCTTCACATAGCCCATCTCACTAGAATGTTGACGGTGCATCTATACATCAAAGCAATAAACTGTTTAGGATACTGTGTATCGTGACCCGACTGAAAATTCCGGAAGTTTTTCCAGTGTCAAATAAATATTGTTAATCATGAGGAGAACAGTTTCGAATGTCTTCGTTTATTTCAACTGTTACACAACCCGGTGAACTGGAAACAGTTGCGTCGTCTTACACTTGGTCACAGAAGCATGTTCAATCACAATGAGGTGAATCGCTGATTCTTCCCACCATCGAGAATATATCTCGTAGCGCATTGCGCCTTTTCGGCGGCTACCGTTTGGGGCTAATGAAAATCACGTAGAGATGAACTGAAAGCGTGGAAGCGAATTGTGAAGAAGTGCATAGTACGATTAGGCAGATTTTTTGTGACTTATCTTTCAGTCTGGCATCCAAAAGACTGCGTAACTGGTTGTTTGGAGATGCTGAAGGAAGAGATAGGCTGGACAGCACTGACATTCCTGTTGTCATTTCAGACATGAATGCTTTAAAGTGTGTATGAACCGGTAAATTGTGCTCTCAGTGTGCTGGTCGTAGAGGTTTTTCCCCGTCACTCAAAAATGCTTACTGATGGCTACATAGTGTATAGTGTGAGTTTCATCGTAATCCGTGAAGTTTGTTTCATTGTACGAAGATGATGCTGAACACTAAATATTTCGTTTCATAGTGCACGTGGAGCGCGAATCCCGTGTTTTGTTCTCTTCAACACCTTCAAAGGTGGTCAGAACCCCTCCTATGTTGTACTCGTCGACAAATCACCGGATGAAAAATACCGTCGGTTGAAGTCAGACGTGTGTGTCTTGATGGTGTTTATGAGTAAATATTGCGGTGTAATAGTCGAATTTAGTCTCTCAAATTGGTCGCGTCATATTGATTGCTGTTTTGCATGCCCGTGTGGCAGGACTGTTAGTCTTCATACTATCCTGAACTTTCTGTCTACCCGTCGCTCTTCTTATCCGTGCTTCGATCACCTACGTTTTGTAGTTCCTTTGGCAGACTCGTTCACTGTATCCCTCTGCGTCTCCCATCCGCCGATCCCTCCCAATGCTTTTTCACGCCCATTTGTACACTATCTTCCCACCTNCAATGCATGTCTGTTTCAGTGATAATTTGATTCTATCTCCTTGCTGGTTGTTGCTGCTGGTGCTGTTTCTTTCTCGTTGCACACCGTCTCATGAGCGTGTACGCTTACCCTTTTTTACGGATGTGTTTTTCGCCGATCATATGCCGGCTCCGCGTGAGTCAGCACTAGTGTTTGTCCGAAAATCGGTGCAGAAAGATCAACCATTTGATTGAGTTCAAGTTTATCGTCATTCCACTTCTACTTAATTACGTGAGTACGCCCGCCCGCCTCATGCGTAACCAAGACCACAGACAGACTTTCCACTCGAATGCACTCACGATTTGCTCGTCTTTGGCCTTGTTCTAAACGCAGGTGACTTCTCAACGGATAAGATTAAACTAATGTCCCAATGTATCGATCGTATGGTTGATTGATCAGTAGTAGATCGGTTCATATTGACCAGTATTACTTCGCTCAATTGCCCCATACCCCGCTTGCAGCTGCTTACCTTTTATTAGGCGTTCTGGCTTTAGGAATTATCTCCTTTATTAATTGGGCTACTTGGAAGTCGGTATAGACTGCACTTCAGTGCTTTTCCTTTCTAGCGCACTCAGACGATTCACGTCTCCACCTTTTTTATTCGATTATTCGCGTGCACTTGCAGGCTCAATTGGCCAATTATTTGGTCACTAGTTATTCAAAACAATGAGCAATTACCGTGAATGGACTTCAATACACCTAAATTATTTGTAGCACAGATACGTAGTGAATTTCATCCTTTTCGACGATTCATAAACACCCTCCTCCAACCCGCATCCGCTTAGGGAATGATTATCAGTTAGTTATTTTGAATAAGGTTGAGACTTTTCGATGGCAAATTTTTCGGTTTTAGAAACCATTAGCCATACGTTTTCGTGCACCGGTTTTGTTCTTTCTTTTTCATTTTACTTCCTTTTATTGAACATACAAAGATACGGTTTTCAGGAAGGGATATATATATCATCAAGTATCTCTCACTGTTATTGTTATCTGGGCAGCTAAATCTCACCCGGTGGACGCATCACGAATGAAGTGTCAGCTCGCACACAGAGGGCTCTATTGTCATTTGCCAATTTGAGACATCTGTGGTGCCGTCGCGACACCCGGCTGTCGGTGAAGGGTCGAGTGTATGCTGCGGCAGTTCGGCCAGTCCTGCTATACGGTGCAGAAACTTGGCCATTAAAGAAACAGGATAAAGATAGACTGTCGGNGTGAAAATGATCAGTGCTATCGGTGTGGCCTCGTAGCTCAGCTGGTAGAGCATGCGCGTACAAAGCGTAGGCGCTGTCCATGCGTGGGTTCGAATCCCACCGAGGCTACTGAACTTTTCACAATCGACATAGAAACTTCAAATCTGCCAAACAACTATTTGAACCTTTCTAGATAGTTTGAGTGCTAGTGTAATCAGGTTCGGTATTCGTTTTGCACCTTCAAAGTGTAAAATTTTACTTCAAGACTGGGCTGGTCCTGCACTCAGCCTCACCCTAACTGGGGAAGTAATAGAGCAAGTGGACAAATTTTGCTTTCTGGGCAACTATATCTCACCCGGTGGACGCATCACGAATGAAGTGTCAGCTCGCACACAGAGGGCTCTATTGTCATTTGCCAATTTGAGACATCTGTGGTGCCGTCGCGACACCCGGCTGTCGGTGAAGCGTCGAGTGTATGCTGCGGCAGTTCGGCCAGTCCTGCTATACGGTGCAGAAACTTGGCCATTAAAGAAACAGGATAAAGATAGACTGTCGGTGTTTGAACACCGCTCTCTACGCAGCATTGCACGAATCTGGTGGGGTAGCCGGATGAGCAATGATGAGGTTAGGCACAGAGTTTTCGCTATTCGCGGTCACCCACTGGAGCAAGTGGTCGAGCTCCATAGATTACGTTGGTTGGGGCATGTGTTACGCATGTCACCAAATAGGTTACCACGGCGAGCGATGTTCGTCGAGTGGGAAAAAGCCAAGGGTGGTCAAGCTAAGACCTGGCATGAAGGCATGAAAATCCTAACCAGGAGATTGAGTCACATAGGTCCTGTTAGGCTCCCTGGCTGTGAACCTCGTGATGATCGTAACCGATGGTTAGAGACACTGAGTGATATGGCTGGGTGTCGCGAACAGTGGCGTTCGTGCAACTACTCAATTTCTTCGCAACCTGAAACCTCACTGAACCTCTCCATTTTCTGTTCGACTCCACTTACAATTTTCTTTTTTCTCCTATTCTTCATCCAAATGGGCGGCCCAAAGACAGTAACCAAAACCGACGCTCGAATATGCGTGGTTAATGGTTGTTCGAACTGAAACTGAACTCTCACTATCGGTGCGACCGATCCGGGGATCATGATCAATGAAGCTTACCGCGACGTCTGTGACCGAGTACCATGATCGCTATTTTGTGTCATCAAACCAGTTGTTAGTTTGACGAATTTTGGCCGTCTTTCACTCAATATCCGCCTCAGGTAGCATCGCACGCTGTGACAGTCTATTTGGTGACATCTGTAACACGTGCCCCAGTTAGGTCTATGGATTTCCAAAAATTGCTGCCTTGACGGACTGCGATTTCCCGAAACTCTTCGTCTGAATTCAGTATTGTTTTTCCGGTTCCTCCAGCGGACTCATGCAATGTGGCGTATATTGAATGAATGACCGCCAATGGTGGTCAAACTGACATCTGGCATGATGGTAGTGAAACAGTAGCCAGGGTACTCGATCACAGACGTCGCGCTAGGCTTCGTAGATGGGTATCTTGGAACCANGGGTTTGTATCTGTATTGTCTCTACCAGGGGACGTACTTTGGCGGTCTGTATCACCGCTTCAGAAATGCAAGGCTGGGAGGAGTGTAATAGTCCGTTTTTTATTGGAACGCCTATGGGAATAATCGCTCATAGGTTATCATGCATAAAGTTGATCTCAGTGAATACAGACCGTCCATCAGTGTTCATCCCCAATAATTTTTTGGATGACCTCTGGTTTTTAGACTGATATATTCTGCTTTTCACAGGGTGCGCTTGAAGCTAGCGTCTTATCTATTCCATTGTGGTTAATAAGCCATCGTGTGACCGATTGCTACAACTTCGGTGTGAAGAAAGCTCGTTAATTGTCTGAACACGGATACGGTTGAAGTACTTCGTCGGACACCATCGACTGATATCGGACAAAATGACCCATACTGACGATGCCTGGATGACACAACGAACTGTGAAGTTCTTGCAACTTCCCGATATCAATGACTGTCACACGGACATCACACGAGTGTCCGCGGCTATATTGCCATCATCAGATCCAAGGAACACGTCCTAGCTTGTGTCAGACAACTTGACTCTCCGTCTTACATGAAAGCAACTGTTGTTTTGGTTCGCAAACAGTTTGGGGTGTATCCCTATGAAATAGTGGCGTCATCTGGTTGCGATTGGTCTGCAGTCCAACAACAACTGTTTCTGTTGCAACCATCATTGTATGCGTGTCTGTGGGGTAAATTTCTCAGTTTCCAGTGTACCGGAGCTGCGGACAATAATGTGTGCTTGAAGAGGTATTCTGTTTACAAGGATGCATGTTTGTGCGTGACATACGGTTTAGAACCGCAGCTACGAATGTACTGACTAGCAATAGTTCCAGTACAAAATTTACGTGTTGTTTTGTGAGTTTAGACTTAGAAACACTTTGAAAATGGTGTAACTTGTCACATCTCCTACAAATTGCTTCTGGAGCAAGACATTCATCACCACAATGGAATTGTTCATCAGCTGCCAGAATGGATCTGTTGCTCGGGGCATGAGATGCTAAGAGTGTAAGCAAATTTTAGGGGTCTAACAGTAAGTTCTAATTCAGTTCAGTTTTTACAAACCGTTAACTATGCACTTCCGTGGTTGATGGCGTACTCATTACGGTGATTGTTCTTGAGCCAAGTTTTTGTGCTCCATAACTGCTCTATTTATGATTTTCGAGGAGGTTCCCGCCTATGATTAAGAACTGCAGTCCTGAAATAAGCTCGTCGCATATGGATTTATTTCTATTTCGTGCGATAACCGCTTTGAAATCACAATCATTTGCCAGAAATTCGAGTTTTCAGACGAACTGATCAACATGTTATCCGTTTTCCCTGTTTGTTGGATGTATACAATATTTTTGGGTTTGAGGTTGGTTTTTTTGCAGTGTTTAGTTTGCGACTTTGTTACCTGTGCACTCTGAAGAATTATCGTAAACAGACGAGTCGAAAACTGTGTTGTGGATGAGCACTTGCTATGTCTTTGTGGTAGATATCCCGAGTACAAAACCAGTGGTTCCATTGACTAGATGCATCTGGTGTGTTCGGGTCTACTTCGAAACACTCGGTCCGATGAATGAAAGGATTAATATTGGGCAAGTAAGTTGTTATGCACAAACAGTCGTAGATTGAGAACAGGATATCCGAGAAGAGGGATAACCGTTTTACTTGTGTAACTTCTTTTTGTTGATTAGAATGTGGAGATAAATGTATGGTACAATGACTGTCAGTGTCATTACAGCCGATCACCTCAAACCGTGACCTAATCGGTACGAATTGCACATTCATTCAATAATTTGACACGCTTAGATTCCCGATTTCCATGCTCTCCTAGTGTACAGCTGTTCTGCAAATAAATCATATAAGAAATAATAGTAATAATGATAAGTCGTTCTGCACCCATTTGAGCATATCTGGTATTGACTCCCCATTCCGCCCTCTGTCCTTGTTGCACTCACTTATCTGTGCAGTGAAAGTGAACGGGAAGTCATTCTGCGGCATTTCCCTACGTTCCNCATCGGGTTCGTCTGGACAACATTGAACTCGCCCTACTATGTGCTCAAGAAGTATTCCGCAGTAAGTTGATTTCACTCTCTTAGATTCTCGATTGCTTTCTCACGTCCCCCTTTTATTCGTTACGTTTGTTTTCGTCAACCCAGTTAGTTTTAACAACAAACGCTCAGAAGCGAATAGTTTTTGGTTTCTGAACGCGTGTTTGCTTAGTGCCAACGCCGGATGCCCCATTATCAGTTGTTTTTATTGCAACACGTCCAGCTTGTAGCCTAGTTAACACAAAACGATATGTGGCTTAACAGACCACGCGAACTCACGGGGTCGCGAGGAATCATTATCAAACAAGCTTTATATATGTATATAT